CAAGTGCAGCAGGGCTGATGGCCGAGTGGTGTGATGTGCCCAGTGTGGGTACTCCGGGCACTCCAAGCCAGGACTGCTTTGCAAGCGGGGCACCCCTGAGAACTGTCTGTCTGGGGTGGGGGTCGGGACCCTTTAAGCGCAGCCCTCGGCTAGCCTGAGACAGCATCTCCACGCTCTAAGTCCTCCTCTGATGCCCTGCCGGCACTGCTTCCGGCCATCCTTAAGCCCTGTTCAGGTTCCACTCAATGTGGACTTGCTAGTTCGAATTAGCAAAACGCTAATTCGAACTAGTTTTTAGTTCTAGACGCGTTAGTTCGAATTAGCTTAGTTCGAATTAACTAATTCGAACTAAGTTAGTTCGAACTAGCGCTGTAGTGTAGACATACCCTCAGATATGTACCCTTCAGGTCCCTTTTTGATTTCTCGTTATATTTTAGCTCCTCAACATAACACTAACTGGAAAAAAAAGGATAGTTAACTAAGGCCCAATGCTGCTAAGTGGAATCAGGTGCAGATCTTGAGAGGATAGTGTTAGAAAACCAGAAATCTTGTTGCGTATCTTGTGTGTGTCAGAGTAAATAAAATAAGCAGAACAGGCATTCTGGGGACAAGACATTTTTCTATCTGCTATATGAAAAGGCCCAATCAGGGTACACTAACCTGAAACAAACAGAGCACTTTACTTGCCTAATGGAGTCCCACACCAAAGAACCTCTGGAAATCACTATAGCAAATCCCACCATGTATTAATACTTTTCACTTACTGCAGAGAGAACATTTCATGGAGGGCTTGCCAAGTGCTTTACACACACTGGCTACATCTAGACTACATCCCTTTTTCGGAAAAGGGATGTAAATTAGACGTATCGCAATCGCTAATGAAGAGCGGATTTAAATCTTTTTTCGAAAGATCAGCGTCTAGACTGGCGCTTTTCTCCGGCAAAGCTCCGTGCCAAAAAAAAAGCGGCAGCCATTTTTATGATAATTGTGCTTCATTAGCAATTGCGATACATCTAATTTACGTCCCTTTTCCGAAAAAGGGATGTAGTCTAGATGTAGCCACTAAGTTAACAAAGCCCCAACACCTTCATGAGGGAGCTAAGTATTACAAAGTCTGTTTTCAGATGGGGCAAATGAGAGAAAGTGACTTACCTAAGGGCAGATAGCAAATCAGTGGCAAAGCTGGGAACAGGTATCACACCCTGATGCCTAGTCCTAGACTCTAACCAGTAAGCCTTAACGTTTTCCCTCTTATGAGAGCTTCCAAGAAAATGAAGTGTTCATAAGAATCAATTTCTTGCATCCAAATTGTGTAACAATATTGCAGACTTGCTTTTATCATGTCCACAGTCCATTTGTGTACATGCACACACACACTCCTATGGGGGAGCTGCAACTGAGGTGACATCCATGAATAAGGAAACATTCAGTCATGAGAGAGTAGCATTGGGACTCCTACAGAGGTGAACAACTTTAAATTACCTGGAAAAACTTAAAAAACAATGAATAGTCTAGCAGTACCTTAAAGACTAACAAAACATGTAGATGGTATCATGAGCCATCTGCATGTTTTGTTCGTGTTTAAGGTGCTGCTAGACTATTTGTTATTTTTTAAGTTTTTCCAGTTACAGACTAACTCGGCTACTGCTCTGAAGCTTTCAAATTACCTGTTGGTCTTTAAATGGCGTTGTCAGTGCCAGTCACTGAATTAGTATATATGTCCCCATAGCCTTTTCTCTCAACTACCTGTCAAATTTTCCATACACACATTTCTGTCCTAGTCTCCTTTTCCCACAAATCTTCAACTGAAATATACAACATAGGGAAAAAATTACACTCATTCACATGAAGGATAAACTTAACTGTTGCCAATATGACCCCTGCTGTTAAAGTCTGGTCTTTGTAAAGAGGTACGTGCTTGAACACAGGTATACAAAAGGAGGGGACAGGTGAAACTGGTTTGAACCTGTTGTAAAGCCTGCAAAATGACAGTGAGGGGACAAATGATGATTGGAGGGAATTTGGTGCAAAGGGGCATGACCTGTATATGCATGCAATTGTAAGTGGTCAGTAAAGGGGGGGTAATTACCATGTAAGAAAGTACAAAAGACCTTGCCTTTTGTTTGGGCATTTGCAGAAACTTTGCAGGAACTTTTTTTCCTGAGTATCCTGGAGGTTTTTGCCCTGGAATGCATTCCTGAATAAAGCTGGTTGCTTAAGAAGGGTGTCTGGAATTGATTTGGTAGGGGTTTTGGGCCCCCATCCGAACCCTCGGATTAAATTCTCCGTCACACACAATGTGAAAAGTTATCTTAAATCCAATTATCTGAACAAATACTCCCACTAGATGGTGCTATGCTCAATGTAAATGAGCTGTAGTAAAATGAGGTTCTACAAATGAGCATATCCTAGGTAAATCAAAGTTTTAATGGCAAAAGAAAATTTAACAGTCACAGATAGGCAAACATTAGAAAAATGGTTTGGACTAAACACTGTTACTAAAGATGTTTCCTATCACTGAAATTAGACTATGTTTTCTGCTAGCTGCATATATATGAAGATAAGCCTATTGTTATTAAGCTTCAGAGGGGCAGCTGAATTAGTATGTAACTGGAAAAACTTAAAAAACAATGAATAGTCTTGCAGCACCTTAAAGACTAATAAAACACGTAGATGGTATCATGAGCTTTCATGGGCACAACCCACTCCTCCAGATGAATGGAGTTGTTAAAGATCCAGTTTCTAACTAAATAAGGGGGTGGGGAGAGAGAAGGGAAAATAGGGGAAAGAAATAGTCAATTAATGTGTCCATGGCCCCCTACATTCCACATCCTAATGACATAAAAAAAAACAATGGGTACTTAAGAACAATTTGCACCTTCTCTATCAGTTTCATGTAGCCTGGACACTCTAATTGACTATTTCTTTTCCCTTCTCTCTTCCCTTTCCCCATTAGGTCTTCTGTTGGTGGACATATAAAAAGAGGCTGATGATTGTATGAGTGATGAAGATTGAACTGTCCGGAAACTCTGAGAGGGTATGTCTACACTACAGGGCTGTGTCTACACTGGGCCACTTATTCCGGAAAATGAGCCGCTTTTCCAGAATAAGCTGCGAGCTGTCTACACTGGCCCTTGAATTTCCGGAAAAGCAACGATGCTCTACTGTACAAAATCAGCCGCTATTCCGGAAAAACTATTCTGCTCCCGCTCAGGCATAAGTCCTTATTCCGGAACACTGTTCCGGAAAAGGGCCAGTGTAGACAGCCCAGTAGTCTTTTCCGGAAAAAAGCCCCGATCGCGAAAATGGCGATCGGGGCTCTTTTCCGGAAAAGCGCGTCTACATTGGCCACAGACGCTTTTCCGGAAAAAGGGCTTTTCCAGAAAAGCAGCCTGC